TCCTCCTACCTCTACTTCGTACATCACACGGTCTATTCTTCTGACCTCTCACGCTTCTGTTTCCTTGGTCCATGGGTTGCTCTGTAGTCACGGCCAAACACAGGACGTCCTACTTTGTACGTGGATTGCTGTTCGTACTTTGTCTGTACTCGTGATGATGCGTTAGGCGGATGCAACAGGCTGTGGATCGTTTTCAGTCTTCGTCCCATTAGGATTTCTGCTGGAGACTTTTGCTCCGGTAATGTCTCATTTGGTGTTGTTCGAGAAACGAACAAAAGATTTTGTAACGCGTATGCTGGTGTGTTCCCCTTTTGACTTAATGCTCTTTTAGACTTATCTACAAACCTTTCTGCTTGCCCATTGGACTGAGGGTGGTATGGCGGCCAGTCGTCGACAGAAAGCTTGTAATTGAGTAGAGGTAAATTGCGACCCGTTGTCAGATACAACCACATCTGGTATGCCATTTCAGGAAAAAAATTCATTGAGGAGCTGTATTGTTTTAGTTGTCATGGGCGCCATTACGAGGCTGATTTCTGGACATTTTGAAAAGGCATCAAGTCCAAATATCTACATAGTTCCATTATTTGGGCCTGCGGAGTCGACGGGTATCTTGGACCAGGGATCAGGTTGTAGCCATAAAACTGGCTAGACTTTAGCACTCACCTTTGCCACTTGCTGACACCGCATGCACTTTACAACGGACTCAGTGATATATTAACCCATTAGGGGCCAGTATCCACAAAACCTGGCTATGGATTTCATTAGTTCAACTCCGATGACCAAGGTGGAACTGTTTCAGCATTTTTGAGCGAAGGGACTCTGCCACGACCACTCTTTCATCAAACATCACGCAGCCGTTTACAATGCATAGTGAATCCCGCCGCTGATACAGCTGTTTCATGTCACCATAAAACTTCTTAAACGGCCAACCGTCGGTGACATAACTCATTGCCATCTTGATGGTGTGGACAGTACTGTCTCCAACCGTACAGAAAATTATGAAAACGTCAGGCAGTAAACACAAGTCCAAGAGCCTTTTTCTCTCTCTGGCTGTATTACCTACCTGCCATGGTTAGTGTGCGGAATGTGTGCATATCAGCTTTTTCTGACGCGTCTAGAAACTGATGTGAAATGACAGCACCTAGGCTATACGTTGGGGCGTCTGCAGCGACGATGTTCGGCGTGCATGGATCGTAGTGCGTTAATAACCATTGGGAGCTAATGATGGACTTAAGTTTACAAAACGCCGCATCACACTCTTTAGTTCAGTTCCAAGTGCTGTTCTTCTTCAGTAGACGATTAAATAGAACGCGAATACCATGCACCGAAGAAACGAAGCTGCACAATAGGTAACAAGTCCCATGAAGGAACTTAGTGCCGAGAAATTAGTTGGGGTGGGCATCAGTTTGATAGTTCGAGTGTTCACAGGATCCGGTCTGTGGCCATCGGTGTCATGAATGAACCCTAAATAATTTACTGACTGCAACAAAAACTGGCATTTCTCTGGGCGTAACCGGAACCCTTTGTCACTGGTGCGTTGCAGTACCAATGTTGTGCGTTCCTGTGGCTGTTTTAATGTCGTCGCAATAAATAAAATTTCATCGGGGTAAGCCGCGAAACCCGAGATACCTCATAGGATGGTACCCATTAGTTGCTGTAAGATAGGTGGGGCAGTCTTGACTCCAAAAGGCAGACGGTTATACTGAAACAACCCGCGATGTGCATTGATAGTATGCCGTTCTCTTGATGTTTCATCTACTCCCACTTGCAAGTAAGCATCAGCTAGAACCAATTTTGCGGAAAACTTTCTTCCATTCAACATAGTGAATAGATCTGCGGGAACTGGTAGAGGATAATGATGCTGTTCTAGATCCGCATAGAGACCTGTAGAAAAGTCAGCACATATACGTGTCGTATTGTTGGCCTTCTTGATAACAACTAAAAGTGCTACCCAAGCAGAGTAAGAAACGGGCGTAGTAACTCCCTGATGTTGAAGGCGATTCAATTTTTTATCTACTGTTGGTAATGTTGCATAAGGCACGGGTCTTTTTGGACGGAAAACAGGCTTACCTTCAGGTTTCAACTGAAGCTTTGCTTTCATGGCAAATACCGACTCAATCGAGGTCGAATAATATATGAAAACTGGGTCACTAGCTTTCTCGTATATACTTCAGGGTCATGTGGTTGTGACAGGTTGCATATAGTATTTAACGGGACATCAGCTAATTTCAGCTGGTCGAGCCATTCTAAATTACGTAAATTTAGATCGGCTGGCCTTATATGACATAACCCAGTGAACGACGAATCTCAGAAAGTAACTTTACATTACAATAGTCTTGACAAGTGAAGGTAATAACCACATGCAGTACGAGGCTTTTGTGATGTTCGCTGCAGGCTTAGGTTGCCCATTTTGATTCAATTTTTACGTGAGAGGATAGTATCATGTGGTGCCGTATCTATCCGCAATCTAAACGAATGTCCATTACTATTAAGTATAATGAATTTCCTCTCACCTGGGGATGAGCTTTGATACTAGGCTCAACATGGTAGTACTGAATTTAAGAACAGTCTTTCTGGTACTTATGGATCGATTCGGCTCCAACCTAAAATCAAACCGATTTTTATGACCAACGATCTTACACTGCGTGCATTGATGCTGCTTAAATGGTCAGTTTCCTACATAGCGTCATGTACCACAGTGCCGGCAAGGAGCAGCCCGATCTGTTTTAGTTTGTCGGACTGAGCTGAAATGGGATGGAATGTGTGTGGCAGGGGAACATTTATTCTGATCAGATGTCTGTTGGACTACTCATACTTCAAAACGACTAGACCTACCAATTCATTGGCCATGTCACTAATGGTGAGTTAAGAATGTTGATCCAGTCGACACATTAGCCGTGTTCTTATGTCACTGAACTTTTGGGACCAAAGGCTGCAAATGAGGATGAGGGCTTTAAACTGGTCATAAGAAAAAGACTTGAAGCGGAAGTGTTCGCATTCACGGTCGACGAAGCCCTCTTATGGTTAAAATGCATAGCGATGGGGCCAAGTAAGAGATTTATATCCACGCAATCGCAAAATTGTCATGTAGGAAATTCGGAGATGTCCTACAGGAACCAAACTGTTAATAATCAAATAGTGATGTGTTTGTATTATCCAAATGAGTAGACATTTCAGTCTGTGACGTTTCGTGATTTCATGTAAGCCACTTCTTAGAGGCAAATGAATGATCATTTATTCTGAGAAAGTAACTATTGCGAAGTTACGAAACGTTGGAAATTCACGTTTCTGCTCAATGGGATATTAAAAACATAATATTACTTCCTTTTTGACTTTTTACAAAACGGTTAACATTTTGAAGCAAATGAGAAGGCAGCTTTGGAAGAGTGGACGTTGTATTCTGACTTAACAGATTGTTAAGAATATTTTTCTTTATCTCACTTATACTAGGATAATAGGACCAGTCACGTCACACCAGGTTCAGGAGTCATGACTCAGAATAGATATTCAGTGTATAGACTAGATAATCACTTTACTCAACACACAAAAATTCACTTTCAATGAGCCTGGATGGAAATCAATGAGAGTAAAGGAAAGCACATTTTTAGTAGTCTGTATGTCCACGTTCAACGACCAATCATATTTGAATTTTACTACCACATATATTCATGTATAGGTAAATAAATCACCAAAATCAATAACTATGTAAGCCTTCTACATTTGAAACTGACCACATTAGTTTTACTGGACTCATCTAGCTGAGAGTGCTCGGTTACGCATCCGCACCATATCACGAGTGAATACGCCGTGCTACAAATCTTTTACAACTGCTAGCCTAGATTATTCACTTTACATTATATCGATAGCTTATCAAATATATCTTTAAATCTCTTTGCTTCTGGCTTTTGATTTGACTGAGTTGGCATATTTTGATCACAAAATGTATTACTGGTTACGGAGTTGTCCAACTCCGAGTACATGTGACACCTTTATTCACTTATCTAGATTTAACTATTCTTGTTAACTTTGTTACTCCATGAAATAAGATTCATTCATATCATAAACCGATCAAATGTTAGACTACTAGTTGAAACTTGGAAGCAGTGGGAAGATGTCTTGTTCCACAACAAGACTCTTAACCAGTGCGCATCTATGACACAACGCACAAACATCAAACCCAAGCCCTTCAGTCTCGAGCGTGAATACCAACTCTCTAAATCATTAGGTTGGTAGTGGTCTAACATTGATCAGATCATGACTTTAATAAAATATGGCATTATACGCGAACGATATTGGGTTCGATTCGCGGAGTGAACCTGAACCCTGAGATGCAGATACATCCAACTGATGAATCCTAAATAGGACAAAATACTCTTCCTGAATTCTAATGCTAGCCACTATCCATCTCTGCTTATAATGTATATGGAATGCTGGCAATATCAACGCAACCAGTATAGGATACTCATATGCCAATATGGACTGATCACTTGCATTCTTAAACGTCAATGGAGAGATTCAACCAACCAATACAAAAATGAATTTTATTTTGAATGTTTAATTATTATTAAATTCACTTGGTTTTATTTACTTGTATCTTCCCATTGTTATTCAGTCTCTTAATGGCCTATGTGCATCCTATGCGGACTGCCTCAATATTGCCCTGAAGTCATAAGCTTTATAAGCAAAGATGGATAGTGTCTAGCAATGGAATCCAGTTCTGACGCTGGTTTCATTCTATTATCACCATCATCATCTTCTTTTAACAACTACCATTCAAAGTGTTTATTTACCTTTATGACTTTTTACTTTCTTTCTTTTCTTTTCTTCTTTTCTAGTCACAAATCATTGAACAACAAAAACGTTTAATAATCCAAATTAAAGAAGCTCAATTATTACGAGCTGAATTAGAAACATGTCGACATCGTTTATTGGAAAGTATACCAGGACATATAAAATGTGATATAACTCATAATATAATTGATAAATTAGGAAGAGATTTTATGAATGATAATCAATTGACATCAGCAACAACAACAACAACAACATCTAACAATACTACTGATAAAACTACTTATAAACAGAATATAACACAATTGAAATTAACATCATCATCATCAGCATCATCATATACTACTAATAAAGAATTAGAACAGTCATTTAATAATCAACAATCTATAATGAATACAACACAATTTCTTAGACAACGTGTTACTGAACATTTAATTGAATTTTTAAATTGGTTTGTATTATCACAAGTAAGTTATGTAATCAAAGAAGAAACCATTGAAATGTCAGTCATTGAATTAACTTGTCTTACATATTCAATATGAGTTGAACTCTAGTTGTCATGAATTCTGTAAGAGTTACATCTTGGTACTATTTACGAGTATGCATATAGTTACCAATACGAGATTACGAATTTGTGGAGATTGTAGTAAGATAGTTATCCGCTTCAGACAATTGATGAAGGATTGTGAAAGATTATGGATTGATTGAAGTTAGAGATTACCATGGACTGATGTTGTCTCAGTGGTCTAAATGTTAGGTGTTCGTACTTGAGATCAAATTCCTTTTGGTGTGGGATGGTGGATGTGCACTGTTAAGGAGCGCCATACTAGAAGAAAACAGCTTCCGATTTTTCAGTTGTTGGTCTAGCTTACATCAACTCATGAATTCAACTATAAATATTTTGTATATGTTAGTTGAGAATAAAAACTGAAACTTATTGAAGGTTACATATTGAAAACCAGTTGTTCACCAATGTAGTTTGACTCATCAAACTGAACATTTCACCATTGAAACTTTTCAAATAGTGAGATTTATCAACTACTAAAGGCAGATAGAATTTATTCATCATTTCATGTTATAAGGATTCATTCAAGCGGTTGGTTGGTACATTCTTCTTAGTTTCATTTAACAATTACACTTATAACTGGTGTCATGGGAAAAACAATTGAACAAATCCAACAGTGATGTGAATACTTGGAAACCTTCCGAAATGTTGTGAATGATAATAATTTTAATAGTTGGGATCATGATTCAATTTAAAGCTAGACCACCAAGGAAAACCTGGAGGCACTGCACAGCCGTTTTGTCCCATTTTGGGACTCCTCAGCAGTGCCCATCCATGATCCCACTTCGCGGGATTCGAACCCAGGATCTATCAGTCTCACACGTGAACGCTTAACCACTAGACCACTAAGCTGGCCGACATCCGACGGTTTGGATGTCTAACTTCAATCAATCCACGAAATTGAGCGACACATCCATCATTGTCTGCAGTGAGTTACTGTTTCACAACAAACCTGGTTGAACTCTACTGGCCACTGCTTCTCCCTAAAACTCCGCGGAAATACCTCTTGAGCTTATCTTGATTAATATCAGAAGGGGGTTTTGTGAAGATTTGAATATTGCTTATGTTCAATTCAGTCAATTTATTATCCTCACTGATATAAATAATCAACTTGGCATTTCTCATAGAGTGTAGGGGTTTTTCTTTAAAGGAAATGTTACGTATTCTGGGTAAACTCATTGTTATAACGAATACAGAGAGGTGTGTTAGGCGTCAAGAAAACTGCTAATTTGAAGTTGAGCTCTTTTTTGATGAAGTGATATTATTCTGGGAAACTAAGAAACTACTCCGATGATAAATCAGTTTTTATCAACTGACTATCACTTGAAATTAGATTTACTTAGTACAAAATCTAACAGTTTTAATTTAAAATTGCATGAGGGGTCGCGATCATCATTTTGCTTCACAAATCGATGAAGGATAGTGTAAGGATGGCTTATTGACAAGCTCAAAGAAGCCTGCAGAAGTTCAGAAAGAGCCAAAGACATTCCATCCAATCACTGTCAGAGGAACATTCTAGAATGTCGACGTGTTCCTCCCTTATTGGATGAATAAGAGGGCCCTAAATTAGTTATGATTACGCATTGCTAAGGAGTTTAACACTGGGATGAAACATTTTTCCAGTGAGCCTTAATCTCCACTACTACACTAATTAAGGTCAGTCTATGAAGAATGCAATCTCAATATGGTTATATTTAACAAATCAAAAATCAAATGTACTTTTATTCCAAGAAATGCGTGAAATTCACCGGATATTACACCACTAGTGAAGTATACTTCAGACGAAATAGCATATAATGTTAAAAAACTAGCTAATTTACCCTTTCTTGTGTTACTACTACTACTATCACTACTAATACTACTATTACTACTACTACTAGTACTACTACTACCATTAAAATAAATGAATCAATGAAGGTAAAGTAATAGATTGTTAATATATAAATGTATATCCTACTAACTGGTACATTGTTAACGTAAAGTTACCAACTATCAATGTTAAGATGATTGACATGAGAAAATAACAAAAGCGCTAATATAATCATCATTAATGGTAATCAGACAGTGGATTGAAGAGCTCTTCACTGACGAAATGAATATCTTAGTCACAATGGTACAAGATCATTCAAATCATTCCGAAGTGATTGCAGTTTGTCTAGTCCCTACTAAATATTAGTGAGAAATCTACACTAAATTATATTTGATTTAATTTAGCTGTTACTCTCAATATGTTGAATAAACAAAACAAAAGCGAAATTCATAGTACTGAAATTCAACAGACATATTTCTTCTTCCTTACTACTCAGTTGAATGTATCCCGATCCGTGTTGATATTCATATTAAGACTCGAACTCAATATCTACTGTCTGAAAACTGAAACTAATATCGATTAAGCTACCAAGTTCACATAATGACTAGATTATTCTCATAGTTGAAATCATGAGTCAATTTGAAGGTGGACAACCATGGAAAACGTGGAAGCACTGGACGGCCGTTTCATTCTATTGTGGGACTCCTCAGGATTGTGCATCCACGATCCCGCCTCACGAGATTGGAACCCAGGACCTATCAGTCTCGCACGCAAGCGCTTAAACTCTAGACCACTGAGCTGACATACAACAGTTTAATTTCATCTATTTATAATACAAATGTCTTAACAAGTAAATGTGTGATCAGTATGTGCCAATATGTACATCTTAATATATTCCTTTATATGTTAATGATTTTACTAAAGTTCATTACGAATGCAAACCTAAATTGTCCTCTTCATTATTAAGTGTTTGAATAATCCCATTGTTGATATTTAGAAATGAATTTTGATTATTCTAAGATACAGATATATATCCATGGTGAGATTGGAACGTATGTCCTGGATTTCACTGCCAACCACAAACCATTAATTATGAAGATCGCTCATGAGTGGTTTACTTACCTTATCATTATCAAGATTGTTTGCAATATTTTTTACTTGTTATCAGCCATCAAACATACTTATTAGATCTCCTCAATCTCAATAGTATATATTACGTTTAGTTAAGATGTTCGCATAATTTGACGGTAGTGTATTATATCACTGATTGTAGTCAACTCGGAAAGAATTTTGAAAATAACGAAGCACCACAGAATGATATTTTTTGTATTTCACTGATAAGGCTATTCATCAACAATGTTGTCCGAATACACATGAGCCACATAAATCATTCAATTTGTGTAAGAGTTGTGACAATACCCAGGTGCCCAGGCCGAAAAAGGTGATTTTCTTAAAGAGCTACTCCCCAAGCGTTTGACCTAAATGTCTGACCCACAAGGTAGTGGAATAGCGTTAAGAGATGCAGTCCCATGGTAGCCTGTAACTATCAATTAGTTTACACGCCTTTTGTTCACTCAGGATCTTGGATCTCATGTACATCATTGATTGGGAATTAGGGATTTTGAACTCCCCTAGGTAGATCTTGTATAACTATCAACCCGGTTAAAAAGTCAGACATTCGCTTTTCGTCCTTTTAGCTTTGTATATACATGTGGCCATGTGAGAGCATTTCGAGAGTGAGAGTGGATTCTCTCCACCGTCGACCGTACTAAGTGATTTCTGACCTCAACAATGTTATATATCAAACTATCTCAAACAGTATCAAATCCCCAATAGTGAAATATAATTCCATGATTGATTAACACTCAATTGTACACTTCAATAGCATTCTTTACCCCCTTGTTTTTTCTCTTCTTCTTCCATTCTTTCTGTTTTTTTTCTAAATTCCATAATTTAGATATTTTAAACAGAAATTAAAGTAGATCAAGATTTATGGGAAAGTATTCAAGATGAATTAAGATTTGAATTATCATATTAGATTCATCATTAAATGAATCCTTCTTTTTGGGTTGAATTGTTTGGTTGTTTGTTTGTTATGTATTCAACATTGACAATTGAATCTGTTGAGTTCTGTTTTAAACTGTGTACAAAAAAAAGAAAAAAAGAAAAAGAAAAGAAGAAAAGAAAGAAGAAAAAAAGAGAAGAAGAAACGCAAACCTAATTGATCGGATTATTTTCCTGGTCAATAATATCATTCTAAAGATTACGTAATCATTTGATTATTGTATTTATATTCTTTTGAAAAATGTTTCTCCCACCCCCTTTTTCTTCTTTTTTTTTTAATTTTTTTTTTGTATTTTTTTAAAAAAATAAAGAAAACCGTTCAATGAATGGGTTATGTTATGCGATTGTGAATTCTTCTTTATTTTTCAATCATTAGATTCACATTATTGATAATTGGTTAACAAAAATATATATGTACATTGATTATATACAGAGATGTGGATTGTTTTGTCTCTATGGAGAAATGCTTACCTACTTAGTTAGTTACACACACACACTCATACACTCATGTACACTTAGTAATATCATTCATTATACTCATTCTATGAATGAATACTTTCGTTTTAGTGTATCTTTGACAATGTTGTTTTGTTTTTAATCAAAATCAAGATGAAACTCAGTTTTCAACATCAGATGTCATAACTCTTTTAGATGAAGACCTTCTAACTCCTAGGGCAAACTTTAAATGATTTTCTCTGGTGTGCGTTTTTTTTACCTAGTCAGTGTCCTACGGGATGGGGTCGCTAACGCTATACCTAATCCTCCTCTTTTATTCAGGCTTGAAACTCGTAGTAGACTCAGATGAGCTGCGGGTACAGTTAAATAAAGTTGATCTACACGATATTTTTGAGATTGAACCCACATCTTTCATAACTTGCGATGACAGTTTTTGTTGCATTCACCTTTATATCACTCTATCAAACATATCAGGAGAGGATAAAAATACACAGTGAAAGAGAATCACATCATAGATTGACAGAAGTTAAAGCCCTGTATGCAGGACAGTAGATGCTCACTGCTGAGGAGTTCCATACTTAGATAAGACTGTCATCTAGTACTTCCAGGTTTTTAATAGTGGTTAAGCTTAGATCGACTCATGAACTCAGTTGTTAAAAAATTAGAGAAACTTCTGAAACAGAAAGAAATGGACAAATTACATCCAAATTTAGAGTTTTTATGAAAAGACAAGGTTGAACACACAAACATCAAGTTTGTTAGTAAACTTGATATATTTATACCATGAAGTTGAAATATTAGGGTTCACATTTGTTCAACTACTGTCAATTTAATAGTAGTATCAATGTAATTGTAAAGACAATAAGTGATCAAACCCATCATCAATGAAGATTTCTCACTAAACCAAATCAACTATAGAATACCATAC